GAAGAGGCCATAGCTATGAACAGGGTATCTTACAGCCTGTGCTTGAAGAGACAGCTTCAGCCCAAAACTTAACAGATGCTGTCCTGAGGCTGAGATGAAAACAGAAATATTGTTTCAGAAGAAGACTCTTTCATTACTCCTAAGAGCTAGTGATTTCAGGAGAAAAGAGAAATGAAGATTTTCTGCTGATTATTCAACCTCAAGCCCATAAACTTGAATGGAGAGACAAAGGGCAGGCCTTCAGAAGAAGACACCTTTTTGGCTTCTGAGAATTAGTGACTTCAGGGGAAAAGAGAAATGAAGATTTTTCTACTGATAATTCAGTCTACAAACTCGAGTAGGAGGAAGTCCCTCAAGCCTTCTCTCTGTCTATGTCTCTCTCTCTCTCCGCCTCCATCTCTGTCTTCTCATTTTTTTGAAATATTTCCTTTCTAAATATTTTTAAGGTAAAGTATTTTCTCGGCTTTCAGCCACTCCTTTACCTTTATTTGTTAATAATCCCCTCTCCTCCTCCCACCCAGGAGAGGCAAGGGGCAGGCCTTCAGAAGAAGACAACTTCATGGCTCCTGAGAACTAGTGATTTCATGCTGTGCTTGTACACCATGAGGTTTTCTATTTTTTTAAAAAAATAACTTTTTAGTTGTTTTTCATTTTTTTCTTATTTTTCTGATTCTTGGTTGTTGTTTTTCTCTCTGTGTTTCCTTTTCTTTTTCTTTTATCTCATCTCTCTCTGTTTCAATCGTCATTCACTGTGTTTCTAGACAGATCTGAGGGAACTACAGCCAAACATCCAAATACTATTAGGTTAACCGAATCTGCTGTGCCAAGGGATCAAAAATGGAACAGAAAAGAGATTCCAGATCACCTCTCTTTGCATGCTCCTGAATTCTCAAATTGAATTTCAAGTTTAGGAAGAAACACACCATCCATCAACTGACTAGAAATCACTGCAAGGCCACAAGAAATATGGGATAGCAAGAAAATACCTCTCCTCCAAGGGAAAAGAAAACCTCCTCTTCATCCATAGACAGTTCAATGGAAATCTCCCGGTGCCACTGTCAGGTCAGAGAGAAAGTGGAAGAAATACTGGTCTGACCTACTGAGCCATGCACATGTTTCTTTTCAAAATGGCAGAAATCAGAAAAAGAAGCTATGCTTTGAAGATTCTGTCAGCAAACATCTCAAAAGTGACAGCTGTCCTACTTTCTTTCAGTCCTTTGTGACATAACAGCTCTTGTTTTGTTAGAGCCTCTTCCAACACCATATTCCTAAATGACTCCTTAATTTCCTCCCGTTATTCGGGCTCTGTCATGCTCCGTGTACTAGGATTTTGCTCAAATCAGAGTTCTGGGTGAAGTTTCTGCAGGAGTCCTTGAACTTAGCCTGTCCAAGGCCAAGGCCTGTGGTCAGAGGTTGGGAAGTGCTGAGAGGTGTTCACAAGGTGAAGCTGGCAAATGGAGGTCAGTACCCTGGTCAAAGGTAATACTGCTGTTTTAGCCCCTTTTTGCCCGTTTAGTGTAGTGGTGGCACATTAAAGGATACCTGGATCCTGTTCTTTACACGTTGTTAAAGTACAGATTTTCTGCTCAGAAGACACCTTCATGGCTTCTGAGAACTAGTGATTTCAGGGGAAAAGAAAAATGAAGATTTT